CCCTTGGGAACCTCCCTTGATATGGTCACCTTTAGAGGGGGGAATCAACATACTCAGGACGGAGGACCTATTGTGCTCTCTCTCTCTCTCTCTCTCTCTCTCTCTCTCTCTCTCTCTCTCTCTCTCTCTCTCTCGCATGTCCATGCCCTTTCCTCTCCATTTCCCCCAGGTATGGTCACCTTTGTCTTTCTCATAAGCTCCAAGGACCTTTCTTTTGCCTCTGTAACTCATTTCCTGAGCCCATACAGCCCAGTTGGCTCATTTCTTTCTATCTCTGTGACTTTCTAAAAGCTTTCTCTGTAGATTTGAGTTCCTTGGCTCTGAATTCTTTCTCAGCTAAACTCAAGAATTGAGGTTGCTGAACCGAGGTCTAGTCTAACCCCTCTGGTAGCATTTTGGTGCTGTTTCACCACTAACATAATCAGCCTATGCCGACCACATTCCAATATCCCACCAGGTGGGTCCCAGGTGGTTCCAGATTGGAAGAATTGTGTGCCTTTATCCCTCCTACCCAAGAGCACAGACAATTAGTCAATTAGTTGCCTTTATGTTCAACGCTCCAGCAGGACCGCACTTGAGCAATTGGAAAAATAAACCCATGTAGCCAGGAGGACTCACTTCCCCTGTAATGGTTTGTGAGGCGGACTTCATGATGCTTTCAGAAAAAAAAGAAACATCAGTCTACCATTCCTTTTATAGATTTTCTTAGCAAACATTTACTGATGTGTCAGATCCTGATGCTTCATTCTAAAAACAGTACTGATATTATTCAAGAATGCTCTTTTCAACAACAGAGCATCCATTTTCCTGATAAGTCTCAAAGCTTTGTAATACCCAAGAAATAGCCCCAGGGCAAAGCTAGTCCAGAAAGAAAAGGATTGTGGAGGGTTCCAGTTAGAACAATCTGCAGTTGCTTGAACAGAGGTCCTTAATGAATACCATAGCAAGTTCATCTTTCGTAAAACATCCACTCTGTTCGGTACCCATGACCCCTTTGACGTTTTTTCACCTGAAAATTTTAGGCAAGAGACTCTGTTTCCCAGTAAAAGCTACCCGCTTCCTCATCAGTCACAGCTACGCCTCAGTGGGATTGTTCTGTGTGGGTCCTTCCTCGGCCACTGTTGTTGCAACTCTGTACTTTTCTGACTGCGACTGTCAGGAAGGAGACAGGAAATTCTAGTCACCCTCACAGCAGCTGCGCCATTCCTCCTATCCTCCTCCAATGACTTCAGCCGGCTTCGGTGACAGGAGGGCAGGAACTGAGCCATAGAGAAGGTCAGGAAGATAGGTCAGTGTTTATGCCTGTTGGGCTGGGGATCCTGCTGAGGCTATTTGGTTTCTTCCTTTCTATACTGTTTCTCTTTCCGTTCCTCTTTTTTTTTTTTTTTTTTTTTTTTTTGTTATAATGCAGAGCCAAAGCATCCTGTTTTCAAAACATCTGACTGTTTTGCCACTGAGGAACTCATGCTCTGATGCATTTCACTGAAGTATAAAACAATTCTTCTAATTCAGGAGGCGATAAAAGTTGAAACACCACCATTAATCAACAAGTCTAAGGCAATCGGTCCTTAAAGAAAACAGCTCTCACACATCTAACTGAGCTTGGGCTGCTAGTAAAAGGTTCACTAGACATCCTCTTCATCTCGAAAAACAATGTCATTGCCTCATAAAACTCCTGCTTAATGTATTCTATCTTGTTGTGATTCTTGAGGGGAAATAACCCATGACAGTAACTTACCTGGCTGCATATTTCTTTATAATTCTGGGATTCCATTTGGCCTGTGGCCAGCATGAAGTACTGAGGGAAATTTGGGCCAAGAAGTCTATGTTTTTATAAGTCACAGAAACAGTTTTTAATCTAACTCTTTGGGCTCTAACGCACACTTAGGAAAGACAGTTATAATATTCGAGTCTCAGTTTTCTTCAAAATGTAAAAGGGTTAAGAAAGAAAAACAAAAACATACACAACCCTACCCAGATGAAGTAAATATGAAGGACTGCTTGTTTTTCCTCCTCTAGACAGTCAGCTCTCTACCAGCTGCTTACACACAGGCCCGTATGTAACTCCCAAACACCCTCTGAGCAAAACACTGGCTTTCCCATCACCATTCTTCAATAAATTCCGAGGTTGCAAACACAATTCTTTAGTAAGTTCAGAGGTCACTTAGCTGATCAGAGCTAGGGACACATACATTTTTGCAAAGATAAAGTATATGTTGTTGTTAAGTTACCATTTATTGAACTTTTACTACACACCAGGTGCTTTGCTGAGTGCTTTAGATACATTAATTATCTCATTCATAGCAACCTGTGAAGTAGGTACCACATTTATCCCTGTTTTACAGATGAGAAAATTAAGTCATAGAGTTGTTAAGTTGGCCAAGGTCAAGTAACTAGCAAACTATTGAGATGGGATTTGAACCAGGATCTTTTGACTCTGAAGCTCGGGTTTTTCTTGTACTGCCTCTATAGAACATCTTCACACTTACTTTCAAGTGGTTACCTCAGAGATTTGCAGCAGCTCCTTTGTTCATTGAGAGTAAGCAAAAGATGACCAAATAAGACTATACAGTAATGAGAATGATGATGATGATGTTAACTATATTTTTTAAACAGCAACTAGGATGAAATGCTTCAAAATTTTAACAACATTTAAAACTGAATTTTATTTTTACCACAGAGATTTATTTTTACCACAGATCTATAACTAGCATAGATCAATTATTATTATTTTTTTTGGTTACCACAAAACTATTTATTATATTAATTATATATTATATTATATTATATTATATTATATTATATTATATTATATTATATTATATATTGCTATGGATTAAACTTTACCTGAGATAATTATCTAAGTAATCAGTGCTTGGGAGATGAGGGAGAAGCTAAGTAAAAAGAGAGAGATATTTTTAAAAATTCAAATTAACTTCAGCTGTCAGCTGGGCATTATTCATCCTTTGGATAAATGCTTTGCCCTTCAACCTTTCCAATGCAGAGTTAGAAAACAGGTGAGCCTGCATGCCTTCTACTTAAGCTAACTGCATCAGAATTAAGGTTTAGCCTTTCTTTAGGGTTAGCTCTATTCAACTTTCATTGCTTCCTGCACATGACACCATAAAGGAGGAGCGGAAGCCTGAAGTGACTGGAATTCTTACCAGGGCTGGCAGTCTCTGGTCTCAGAGTCTTATTAACTATGACACTGAATATTAAAAAAAAATTATATAAATGTGTACAACAGACAATGTCTAATTTCAGCTCTCAGACTGCAACCTTGTTTGAATCTAACACTAACACTCAAAATGAAAACATAATGGCAATTTGCAGTTTCTCAATGAGTATTCTTCCCCTACCCCCCTGGAATGAATTACCTACTTCATCTTAGTGGCTCCAGAAGAAAGTTCAGCATGTCCTATGTGGTGCAAGCTGCTGAAAAAACTACCCTCAGGTATTGAATCTACGCCTTGCATGGGTATCAGTGATCACAACATACATCTGCAGATGCTTCAAGGTAGGTAAAGCGTGTGTGAAATGCTTATACATGGGGCACAGGGTGGTTTGGAGAAATTACACAGTTAAGCCTTCCTCTTGGGGAAGCAGTTAAGACTTACAACAGCCTGGAAAAACCCAAAATGCAGCCTTCAAGAGAGAACTTCAGAGAAAAATCAATAAATAGTTAAACCTCAGTCCTTTTCTTTTTTCTTTTTTTCTTTTATTTCAATTTGAACTAAAATGTAAGAAAGAAGCTTATTTATTTATTTGCTCTTTCATTAACCAATAAACCAGGAGTGAGCGGAGTCTGCTCTCCCCTTCTGCAGGACGTCTGGAGGAGGCAGGCTTCCCCCCACCCACCCTCAGATACTTGGGAGAGCCTTGGTGGGAAGAGGTGATCCTTTTAACCCCAGGAAACGGGGAGGAGGGACCCACCTTTGCCAGTGTCTCTGGGGCTGGAAAGTGCATGCTGACAGGTATGGAGCAAAATCTCTTTCCAGCCCTAGAACCATAAGACAATGAGAAAATGCCTCTGAAAATGACTGGGGATTCTGAAAATGTGTACTTGTGAGTGTACAGTGTTAAGGCTTTCCGTATCTGTATATGTGTGTCCACACACACGCACACACGTGTGCGCACACACACAGTCTCCAAGGGAAAAAAATAAGCAAAGAGCAACAACTTCCACTACAGTCTAATTCCAGGTGTTAACTAGACAAATGATACACTATAAAGTTCTTCAACACTAAGTTTTGTAGGAGGATTGTATATAAAACCATTTCTTTGCGATCGGGGTAAAACTTGAACTCAAATGATTCCACTTTAAAAAGCAGCAAACCTTTTAGAAAAAACAAAAAACTTTCTGCTTTTGAGACCAGGTATATTGTTTCTTTTTCTTTTCTTTTCTTTTTTCTTTTTTTTCTTTTCTTATCTTAACCATGCCAGCATCACAACATAACTGTTAGAAAATCCCAGAATGTCCTGAGAAGAATTTCCGAATTTATGAAACTTCAGGGCAAACCATTCTCTCCATTGATATTTGGAGGACAATATCATTTTCTTATTAAAACAACAACAACAACAACAACACACATGTCAAACACCGGATTGCAATGCCACATGTTATGCATTTTTACCCGATAGATTCATTCAGAGTGTATCTTTCTGACGATTTTTTAAAAGACATTTACATCTGTCTAGTGATCCTTACTCATTATAAGCACATCGCCACCTAAACATAGCAGCCGAACTCCATCAAGAAGAAAAAAGTTTGGTTTCTGGGGATCACAGCGCACTGAGGATCCTAAACTTTTCTGCAGCATCAAGACCCAAGCCAAGTGTGGCACCTGGAGACAGGATCCTCTGCGGCAGCTCAGCAAACCCACCCTCCGGGTCCTGTCCAGGCTGCACCTCTGCCACAGGCAGGCAGGCAGGCAGCGGCCAGGGGAGTCTGGAGCTCCCCGCCCAGCCCCACTTGATTGAATAAAACCTTCTTCCCTTACCTTGTTTGAAGCCATCTCGCTGACAGAGCGGTAGGTCTGGATGGTCTCTAGCTGGTCCAAGCACCAGTCCAGTTCCTCCAGCGTTTCCATCGCTAACTTTTGATAAGATTCTTCTGCAAACAAGCACACAGGCATGTAGTTAGGCTGGAGCGGCTGCAGGCTGTCCATAGCAGAGTCACCGCTGCCGCCGCCGCCGCTGATCCCGGTGCTACTGAAGGTGGCTCCGAGCTCCTTCATTATTTGTGTGCTGACTCCTTCCTTCCAGCTCTCTCCACCAGGAGAACAAATCACCGTGGGGCTCTCTGCCCGGGATGGCCCCTGCCAAGTGTTCACGCCCCCTGCCTGGATGAGGTGTCTGTGATCTAGCAAGAAACTTCCTCTGAGGAAGAAGGCGGGGAGCTGTCTCTTATAAGCGCATCAGCACACATGTGTCCCACACTCGGGGCAGAGGCAGGGCGCTTTCTCAGGCTCGGGCTGCCTTAGTCATCTAGGGGCTCTTTAGGGTGCGTGATGTCATTTCTGAGTGTTTGCCGGGGAGAGGAGAAATGAGGGAAGCCTTTGCTCCCTTTGCTGTTCTTCTAAGTGAAACAGACAGCCGGCCCTTGGAGGGGTGGGGGTGACTGACAGTGTCATTGGAAGAGGTCGCGGCCATTCATTCTGGGGAAAGTGTGTACGTGCTGAAGGAACTTCTAATTTGGCAAACCCTGTCCCGCACCGGAGAGAGGCATGGGCTGTCCCTCCCCTGTCCCGCACCTCTCCTCTAAGCAGAGGCGAAATGAGGTCTCCCTGATAAGACTTCAGTCTGAGGGAGACTGGAGTTTTATGTGAACACGTTTATTGGCCTGGGAGTAGGGCAGCTCTTGTTATACTAAACAAAGCTCAGACTTCTCTGCAAGGGCCAGGGTCACCGGGAAATTCTGAACCGGATTTTCAGGTGGAGCCTGATGGGGAAGGCTGCCCCTGTGCGTTTTAATTCAGATGGGGGGGGGGGGGGGTGCTCTGACTTGTCGCTGGAGGAATCTAGGCTTTCTGCGAATGTCTCTCGGAGTTTATTAAAAAAAAAAATTGCTGTTTTAAGGTCATATTTTTGCTGGATAATACAGCTCTTTTTAAGTGTTTACAACATGTCATTCCATATCCAAAAATTTGTGAGTCTAAATTAATACTTAAGGTTACTGACTGGAGAACCCCATACTCATGAACACTGAATGCATTTTGTAAATACCAGATGAGTGTGTGGTGCTACAGACAGTTATGAAATCAGACTTTCCTGTGTGCATGACTGAGTCTGAGGGGCATGCTTACCATAAACTTTACCAACTTGTCCAAGTGCAAGCACTGATAAAAGTAAAAATCTTGTGTGGGATGCTCTGATGCAGGAAAGTCCACACACATTCCTGTCAGATTTAAATACATTTTTCATATGTTCACAAAGAAAGTCTAGGGAGACCCACATAGCTTTTTATTATTACTTGAATACGCTGGCGTGTGTAGCACTCACTCTCGAAGCAGAAAAGGGAATAAACAGAAGAGTGATTCCCAATGATTGGGTTCCCTCAGTCACAGAGGCACATTTCAAAGAATAGGTGCTTTGTTTATCCCTCAAATATGCCTTCACTTCAGAACAAACAGGGGTTAAAACTCCATATCCTGTATGTCATACTTTAAAAAAACCCACAAAACCACTGGAGGTGACTTCCTCTATTTTTTTTATTTTCACACTCCTCAAAAATGTGCAGTCAAGAATTGAGGTGTTTTTAGCAAAACTCATTTCAGGCCAGCCTTGCACGTATTTCCTCCTTTCTGCCTCCTCAATTTTGCAATGCTGGGGCAACATGAAGAATCTCCTCACTTACTCGCTAGTGTGTCCAAAAGACCTCCCCCGCTCTGCCTCCTCTGTTTCCTCCACAGAGTACCTCTTTCAGGGAAGCTTTTTCTGAAGTGACAGGACCCTCCCCTCCTCATTTCTGGTCTCTCATAAAATAAAAAGTTCAACCATTGCCTAACTACCCACAACCGGTGGTTCTCAGTGACTATGGTCAGCCATTCACCAGGATGGTGGGCAGTGAGGAACTCACTCAGAGCCTGCTGAATCAGCTGATATGCAACATGACTCTAAGATGATATATCACATTTTTCCTTCACTAAGAGGAAAAAGGGGCTCTGGTTTGCACTCACACTGGACAAAGGAAACACAGTAATGATAGCAGTAGAAGCACTGAAGAATGAGGTGGACTCTTCAAAGATCCGACTGCTACCACCACAGAGTATTCATTGTCTATCACAGCGATGTTCAGCTGGTCTGATGCAAGAATTTTTAAAACATGCAATACCTGACTAGGTAGTCAATGGCCTTGACCTTTTTCCCTTAGGTTGTCAAACTAAAAAATGATAACAGCCAACGCAATAGTCGCCCAGTGTGAATGAATCAAAATTATACCCTTTTTTTGTGTCAGATTGGCAATATATATATATATGCCAATCACACCAAATATATACATATACATATATATATGTATGTATATATGTATGTATATATTTGGTGTGATTATTTTAGTGTGCTGCAGAATTTTAATAATTAGTTTATGTGTGCCATAAGGTGAAAAAGGTTGAAAATCATTGGCCTAATACACAGAACAAGCATACATGTGCTCTTCGACCTGGTACAATACTGAGATATCAGTGACTGGCCAATAGATGTGACAGGAACTTATTCCACTGCCCTTTCTTATCCTGGTCAGCCACAATAATTTTTAAGTGAAAAAGATGACATTTTTACATTCATAAGAATTTGTTCCTTCCCAGAATCTGAATAGACAGTCAAGACTCTCTTCCTGCTCCATTGTAGAGCTGTCTTATCACAGAAACTGAGATAGAAGGCATAGGTGTCAGAGTGGGCTAAGTATGGGAGCCTTAAACCCCTGCTGATTATGATTCAGCCTCAGGAAGGGTCCAGGACAGCCCTCCACATTATAACTTTGTAGCCCCAGCACCAGATTCTGAGCTCGGTGCCAGCGGTTACTCTCAAAAATGGAAACCAAAGTGCTCGCCCAAGCAGCCAGCAAGCACTTGGGCACCCAGAGGCTGGATGGAACAACTGTATCGCTGTGGAAAGAGCAGCTTCGGAGTGAGGCTCACACGTCGTGACTTTCTCTTCTACCAGTCACTGTGTGATCCTGGATTTCAGCTTCCTACATCTTAAAACAAGGATGCAAATATTTACCTCATAAGTTTATAAAGGTATAAAATGAGATAAAGTATATAAAGCATCTGGTATGGTAGCTAGTTCTTAGTAGGTAGTCCATACATAGGAGTATAATTATTAATGGCAATCCAAGTAACCCAAAGGCCTGGCATTTGTGGGGGTGAGGGTGGAGGGGATGGAGAATCAGGAAGAAGGAAGAACTGCATATTTAACAAGGGTTTTCCCCCTTGGGATCACCTACTTCATCTGCAGGGTGCAGTGCAAAATGAAAATGCAGGGCCCTTTGCTCAAGAAGCAGAAAAGAGTGCAGTTAAAGGTAGTAAAATATGAAGCTTTTTCCTTTCTTCTAGAGTTTCCGTCTCGACTTGTCACAGTGTTATTGTTTTTCTTAAGCTTCTCATTTAAAATAGATCTAGCCGAAACCGGTTTGGCTCAATGGACAGAGTGTTGGTCTGCAGACTGAAAGGTCTCAGATTTGATTATGGTCAAGGGCAGTACATTGGTTATGGGCAAGTCCCCAGTAAGGGGTATGCAAGAGGCAGCAGGTCTATGTTACTCTCTCATTGATGTTTCTAGCTCTCTGTAAAAAATCAATAAAAATATATTTTAAAAGATAAAATAGATCTAGATTTACAGGACAGTTGCAAAGACAATACAAAAGAGTGCCACATATCCCACATCTGGGTTTCCCTACTGTGAACATTTTACATTATTATGGCACATTTGTCACAATTAAATGAATGGGGGGAGTGTTTTCTTTACTCTTTAAATGTGTGCCCCAGGCATGGGGACACCATGAGGAGAGCACAGACCCTCATAGGACTCCAGAGGCCTGCATCCTTTGACATAGGTACGTGCATAGCTCAGCAGTTGCTGGGGTGTGCCCACCTGCCAGCTCCACACTGATGTGCCTTATCCCAGCTAGGGTCAGGCTCTAGGAAAGCCACTTCCTCATGGTGCCAATGTGCCAATCCACAGCAAATACATGGCGCCTAAAGATACTACAGCTTCTGCACTGGGACGTGCTAGATAACCTGGACCAGGGGTGGCCAAGAGGCTCACTCCCACCATGACAGGGCCATTGTCTACCATCTTATAGCCATGCCAACCCAGGGCATGGATGGATGCTGCCATGACCTTCCTGAAACTTTGCAAAGCACACCCATCTAACTCTTTGCATCTGCACCCAGGCTGCCACTGGGAACGAATGTCAGCTGTGGTCATGGGTGAGGGCAGGGAGAGGGATGCTGGGTGAGGCCCACATGGCCAGGGGTCAGGAAAATGGGTGCCTGAGAACATGTCCAGGGAAGGCAGGCAGGTGACAGGAGGTAGAACAATAGCATCAGAGCCAAGGTTCTAAAGGCCCTGGAGTATACTGCATCGTCCTATCAAACTTCACTTAAAAAGAATAACACTTAAAAATCAAAGATAAAATTATGAGTTTCAAAACAGCAACTATGAAACATTTAGGGGAGGGGAGGTGCTATGTGACTGCACAGGTTGTATGCCCTGTTTCCTGTCTTATAGAAATGTCTCTGAAAAGGAACAATGCTTCACACCACAGAAGCAAGTCTCAAGGGGATAAGAGCAGGTAATGGAACAGTGTATGGTCATGGGGTCAACCTTCTTTGTCAAAAATTTCCAGAGGGAAGAGGAAGAACCAACCTCCCTTCTATTCTTCCCTTCTTTCCCTCTTTTACTTCAACAAGAGTGGCAAAGGAAGATTTACTTCCTTCTGTAGATCTGGTAGATATTGAATTCAGCCCTGAGAAACAGGAAGAGAGAATGGATGAATAATTATAATTAGTATTAATCTGGTAATAACACGTGGCATTCAAGTAGCTCTTCTCTCAAAGGAACGCCAAGCACACTCCTCATTAATCCTTGCAACATACATGTGTGACGGGC